AATGTGAGCGAATGTCTGTACAACCTTTTATAGAAATACTTCCCTAAATTAAAGTACATAAACATCAAAATATATACTGAATATGATCAAAAGAGTGAGAAATATCAAGCTTTTTGTATTACCCAGATATATTAACCATCTGTTGTTCAGAAATGTGTTGTATAACCTCTAGAATGGCCTCCTAGTGCATTCGCAAGAGATGATGGCTAAATGCAGCTAGTGACTGAAGTTCTGTTGCATTAATGTGCTACGCTCATGCTAATACAGTTCATGCGCTGTTCTCCAGATGTGCCTGTCGTCAAGGTCATCCGCACCCACTAACACAGTTTTAATTAGTATTCAGGCAGCCTGGAGGGGAATTTCTTAGTTATAATAAAGCTACTGATGAAGAATATAACAGGTGAACTGACAGAACTGCAAGCAGTATTTAGTTCTTCCATTTTATTAAATCTCCATTTTTTATTTTTTTTTTACAATGAATGATCTTGAAACCCCCCAGAAAAGTCTGTTGAGGATGTCCTCAAACAATGCACATCAAACAAAGATTTACTGACCTCAAAAATGTACTGACCACAACAGACCTCAGATACTTTCAACCATAAGTGAGCAATAATGAAGTCACTACAACAGACTAACAGCCTCTCACTTCCTCACTGTGTTTCACATCCTAAACGGTCCCCATATGTCCCAACACACACCCTCAGCAGCTAAAGGTTCCCAGGGGTCTTAGTTGACCCTCGCTGAACCTCTCCGGTACAATAAAGGGGAGGAAACATTTACATCTGCCAGACAGTGTGAATGACACCGAGCGCAGTTTATTAAAACGCCATCAATGATCACACTTGCGTGACGCTTAAACAGCTGAGCACAGAAGACCAAACAGCTGATTCAGATGCAAAACTACTAAAAAGTCATTATGCCACAGTTCCAGTGTTTCATCATAATGAATTTTGTAACATATCTTAAATTATTGGATGGCAGGGAAAGTATTGTTTTGCATAATTACAATGACTTGTCTTTTGACAGGAACAGAAAATGACACTCTAAATTAGTGTTTCTAATGAGTCACCACCCAAACATTGAACTCTGCAGTATTTTGGTGCAAATTCATCTCTCACTTAGTATACTACAGTATAGTTATATTAATATAACTAATATTAGTATATAATAATATTCTGCTGTTTTTTTATACACTGCCGTTCAAAAGTTTGGGGTCACTAAGAATTTAAAAAAAATTTTTTATTTTTTTATTCAGCATTGATGCATTAAACTGATCAAAAGTGACAGTAAAGACATTACAGTGTTACAAAAGTTTTGTTTAAAATAAATGATGTTCTTTCTATTCTGTCTAACTTTCTATTCATCAAAGAATAAACTCTCAATATTAAGCAACACTGTTAACATCGATGATAATAAGAAATGTTTCTTAAGAATCAAATCAGCATATTAGAGTGATTTCTGAAGGATCATGTGACACTGAAGACTGGAGTAATGATGCTGAAAATTCAGCTTTACCATCAGGAATAAATTACATTTTAAAATATATTAAAATAGAAATTAGTTATTTAAAACAGTAATAATATTTCACAGTGTTACTGTTCTTACTGTATTTTTGATCAAATATATGCTGCCTCTGTGAGAAACAGCAACATTTGTGTACAATACATTTTGGCACTGTGTCAGATCACCACTTAGTATGTAATGCAAAATTTAAATCCTGAAGCAAAACTCTAAACTTCCAATAGCAAACTCACTACCACTGTTTACTCCCACTTTACACTACACTGAATTACTTCCAATTCATGTCAGTGTGAGCTTATGAATCTTCAATAGAGTGGCATAGAAAGCCTTCTCATTGTCTTCCCATCTTTGCATCCCATGTTCTCTCATTCACTGAGCTGAAGGACATCAGCGTGTCACTTTTCTGTTCACACACAGTGCGTTTCAGCAAGCAGAGTCTCGGCTGATGGGCTAGGAGACTTAAGGGCATGTTGACGTTGTTGAAGTTTGGTCCAGAGCAGATGGAACTCGCAGCAGTGATTTTTAAAGAGCCCTCAACCCGCTGCAGGTCTCACGTGACCAAAAAGAAGGAAACCAGGTGGCTTTGTGCTCTTGGACCAGCTGGGAGAGTGAAAGACCATCTGACACTCAGCCAGAGAATCATACACTCTCCTCAGCAAACACTTTGCATGTCAATACCATAGTAGCACAAAGGGACAGAGAGAGAGACAGAAAGACATAGATCCAAGAAATTGAGCTAATTATCCTGGTACTCGGCTATTTCTACCCCATATTTCACAGCTGAACAATTGGGCCATTAAGTGGATAAACCAGCACAGAAAGTGACTCACAGTGAGTGTTTGAACAGTATGAATCAGTGGTTTTCCTTCATACGCATAGAACCTAGATGAAAAACAATCCAGATTTTTTAAAATAAAAATTAGAAATTCAAAGACTCACTAATTTTATACTCTCTCTCTCTCTCTCTCTCTATATATATATATATATATTAAACAGTATTTAAACTGTCTCACAGACAGACCCATATGATCCTCAGATGTTTCTTTGTGGAAATCATGATGCTGACTACAGTGAGAAGGAGGCATCTGCATGATCTCCTGATCTCTGACCCTTAGGCTTTGCGTAGGGGTAATTTAGGCTTTTTACGCCCCGTTAGGATCAGTCAAGCATTCCTGAGTGCCCAAGAATCAGGGTCAGCAGCTGACACCACTCTCTCCTTTACTCTCCATGTCTCTTTCTTTGTCTGTCTTTTGAATCCCTCAGGACGAGTGTTATAGTACTGCTCATTTTTTGTTTCTCTTCATTAGTTAACCATTTCTGGCAGTCTGATCACCTGTCGGGACTCCGGCAGAGCGTGAGATTTGACTGTATAACCTACCACAGCCAAAAGTCAGGTTTTGGTTGATTTCTCATGGTGCATGTGTAATCTTGGGCTGATTTGCATTGTTGGATTTTGTATTTTGTCTCTGTGAGGATGTTGAATAAAACTGTCACTGGCAAAAGTGGTTTTAGGTTGGCACAAATAGCACAGCACCCTTTGTGGCATTGGAAAGCTTCACTAAATTAGCCAAAATACTCAAACAGTGCAAAAAACTAAATTCCTACTAAATATTTTGATCTTGTTTTGCAGTACAAATAAACATTCTTAAATCAAGTTACGTTTACTTGAGAAGCAAAATGACACAAGATATTAAGTCTCTTTTTTTCTGAAAAATGAATCAAAATTAAGAAAAATATCTGCCAAGGGTAAGAAAAAAATCCCTGTTTTTCCCCTTTGCATTAAGTTATTTTTTTTCACCCCATTGGCAGATATTTTTCTTGTGTTAAACAAACTCAATTCATTTTGAAACATTTTTCAGAAAACAAAACTTAATATCTTAAGTAATTTTGCTTCTCATTTTGTTAATGAATCTTGATTTAAGAATGTTTAGATATTTGTACTGAAAAAAAGACAGAAATAAAATAATTGTTTGCAGTGAACATGTAAGAGGCAAGATTAGAAGCTGTCTAATCCTCTAATACACAATGCGTTGTGTATTTCTCCTTATTGATAGCAGTGGGTTGACTCAGGAATGGATGTGGGTGGAGGAAGTCTAAGGATTCAAAAGGCTGCTAGATCAAGAGTTGCCAGATTGATTCCAAAATCTGCAACTCAAGAACTGGGGATTTATTGAAATCACAATCACAATTTGTACCCTTGAGCAAGACATTGAATCCAAGGTTATTACGTCTCTGCAACTTGCTCAGGATGAAACTCAATAAAAGTTTCCACTAAATGGCAAGTATTTGGTAGTAACGAATAAAAAAAGTTTCGCGAAGACCTGAGGCTTTTCTCCCAACTGTGTAGTAAAAAGATTGATTACTCAAAGTTTTTCAACATTGTGTATGTTGTAGCCATCTGGTGGTCAAAATAATGAATAGCACCTACCAAACTGCTGTGTCCCATTACAACTGCTTCACATTTAGTCCTGCAACTGATTCTATGTTTCATTTATTTTATTAGCCATTATTTTAGAAATAAAAGTCCCTGTCAAGGTGATTAATTTATGTCTGTGTTATTAAAAACATTTTAAAAAATCATAAATAAAATCTGCAGCCTGTCTAGTCCTGGCTTCAATTGTTATTTAATAGTCAGATGAAAATTGGGCTTCATAAATGTTATTTATTGTTTAAAAAAAAAATGTATTGGAGGTTCTGTTGACTATCACAAAAAAATGGTCACTTTAATAAAACAAACATATCATGTGTACAGCAATGCATTTCCAGTTAGGGTTAGGGGCAACCTAACCCTAACCCTTGCTCTATGTGGCAAGAATGCATTATAATAAATGTTTATAAAAATGTTTTGAAAGTATAGCAAAAAGCCTTTCAAGTTAAAATGAGATTTAAAAAAATGCTTAACACGTTTTATCAAAAAACTCCTGCAATGACCATGTAAAGCCATTAAACCATGAATCTTTCACATAATATGTGCAAGGAACAGAAAGGGACTGTTTACATAGAGAACACCCACACAAGTCTGTAGACTTCTATTGTGAGCACTGATTGAGGTTCAGAATGAGGGACTAGCCAAAATTATTATCTGTGGTAACTGACAACACACCACAGAACTGATAGTGCTTTACTTGTTTGAGAACATTCATTCAACAGAGAACATTCATTTATTTGTCAGCATTTTCAATGCAAAATTATTTAATGATATAATCATCAGATTTTGCTATAATATTGGAAGGAAATATACTGGTAATCCATAAATGATCCAGAAACACTTGTGGATATTTCCAGATATCAAGAGCTCAGAACATCATAAATAATAATCCACAATGATTTTAAAAAGTACAAATGTTAAGTTAATGTGAAAATAAAAGAAGAGCATGAAAGCAGTTCTAAGGAAGTGCCAAATGTTCGTTAAAGTTATGTCACCATCATTAGCTCAGTAAGTAATAGTTCATTCCCCTGTTAGTCTTATCAAACCATTATTAAAATGGGCATATTGTGTTGCAAATGTCTCCCAATTGGAAGAGGTGATAGATGTTAACCAGGGGAAACATAATAACGGAGCCCAACAAAGAGCCTGCTTGAACTGCTGCTCCACACCAAACGAGGGCGCTGTGACTCCGGTCCCTCAGAATCACACCCACCATCACCTTCACATAGGACAGCAGACCAGTGAAGAACACCCAGGACAAAACCTGAAATCAGTTCAAAACACACAAAAAAGAGAGACAAATGGGTTGTCAGTGCTTGTCAGATTAGAATAAAATATTTTAAGTTAAATAATATAAAGCCATGTCTGTGACAGTAGATCTGAAGTGGTCAGTTATCAGGGTAATTATGCAGAGGTGTTGAGAAAGCACTAGTATATCTACCCTCAGCCCAGGATTACTCAACTCAGCATTATATAGTGACGCAGACACTTGACTTTGAAACTAGGGAGTTGTTTGGCACATGGGTCTTTCTCTAGTGTTTCAGTATTATACCAAATCCAGCACTAATCATTTGTGATGTTCACTAGGTTTCATTCTTATTTGCAATGTTACTTATTTATGAGAGATTATCGTAATTTTTCCTTCATTTATCCTGCATTAGCTACGACTGTTTTACATTTGTTTTATTTGTAGCCTGAGGAACAAAACCTTTGCTGAACCATTTACATTAATCTTTTAAGATTTCATTCTGAATAGAATCGAGAGTAGAGTCATTCAAAGCAAACATTTAAACAGAATATTGTAGAAATGGGCTGATTACATAAAAAGGTAACTCACTATAATAGCATCCCCTAAAGGTGTATCTTGGAGTAATGGGCAGGGACTCATGGCAGCCATGGCCATAATGTAACCTCCAAAAACAGAGCCCAGCAGACACAGGACGCCCAGAAATACTAATGAACTGAAAGAGAATTATATTCTCACTGTTAGTCAAACTGCAATTATGACCATTGAAATGTGCTTTAAAGTGAATATTGTAGACTCGTCCCTCAGTTGTAAATTAATCACATTCGAAATGCACTTTCGAAAAGCCTAGAAGACAAGATAGACAGAAGGTTTAATTTTGGTTAAAAAAATTGTATGCATTGTCTGCATAATTCTTGTATTATATAAAATAGTATGTGTATGAATATGTATCTCATGTATATATAAAATATAGATATTTTTATAAAATAATTAGTTTTTCTTTGCTTAATTGGATATAACTTAATATGAGTGTGTGTGTGTGTGTACCTGGTATTTATCACGTTATGGGGACTAAATGTCCCCACAAGGATAGTAATACTAGTCAATTTTGACCTTGTGGGGACATTTTTGAGGTCCCCATGAGGAAACAAGCTTATAAATCATACAGAATTAGTTTTTTTGAGAAAGTAAAACTGCACAAAGTTTCCTGTAAGGGGTAGGTTTAGGGGTAGGGTTGGTGTAGGGCAATAGCACATACAGTTTGTACAGTATAAAAACCATTACACCTATGGAATATCCCCATAAAACATGGAAACACAACATGTGTGTGTATACAGTGGGTACGGAAAGTATTCAGACCTGTGTGTACATTAATGAGGAAAAAAAATTAACAAATGATTTTAGCAAATGGCTGCAATAAAACAAAGAGTGAAAAATTTAAGGGGGTCTGAATACTTTCCGTACCCACTGTATATATGTATATATACTGTATATATTCCTTTTAAAAAATAAAATATATGTATATATACTGTATATATTCCTTTTAAAAAGTAATTGTTTATACTTTCAAAATAGTGTGATCTAGCCCTTTGCTAAGATTCCATGTTTTTCATGTATTTTGACACACTGAGAGATTAAATTTTTATCGCAATTGACGGCAGGCCTCAGATGTCATTTATAGTTGTATTTAACCTGGAAAATATCTTTAAAAACACAGTTTATCTACTTAATAGAACACAAATTACATGCAAATTTGTAATAAAATGGTAAATAAATGTAAGAAGATTATTAGATTGTAATTAAAGTAGAGATACCATATAGGGAAAAACATGGCAATGATGCAGGCCACTGGATTGGCTACCGCCGACAGAGCAGCTGACAGGTGATAGGCCATATTTCCATAAGGCATACAGGAGAACGTCTGCACTGAGGGCAGCAGTCCGTTTGTTGCACCGTTCACCCACAGAACCATGAAATAGATAAACGCCAGCTGATAGCTGGAGTGCAGTGGTTTAGGAAGCAGAACTATGTTTCTCAGTTTTTCCTCTTCTTCTGGACTGTATGTCTTTGGATTGGGGTCCATGGGGCCCTCCAAACCCCTGCATACTGTTGCGACAGCATCTGAGTCTTGGACGAGATTTTCAGTGGATAGTTCAAATGTACGAGGCTGACGGTTTAATATGATGAAGGAACCCAGGCTTATTGCTGTCATTAAGGCCAGGAAGGAGAAGAAAATCTCAGTGGAGAAATTAGGAGGGAGGTACTGTGTCTCCATGATGAAGGTTGAGGGTTCGGGCTCAGTAAGGTTATCCGACACGTGCGACACATTGACGCATTTCGACATCCCGACTCCTTGTGCCAGCGCCACCAGCCCTGGAACCAGACCACTCAGCCCTTCTCCAATGAAGTATGTGGTGATGTATTTGGCCGGAAGTTGCATCATGAATGGCAGGAAGGTGACGGATGAGGTGCAGTCAACTAGAGCGAGAAAAAATGTGAGAATGAAAAATGCTGTGCTATGAGGTTGCCCGAGGATCACGGTGGTGTTCTTCCAAAACACAGCAAGCAAGACACAAGCTACAACACCAACTGACAAGACCGCATAGATGACCAGATTTTCACGTAGTCGCCCGGGACAGAATTTGTGTGCCAGGGTCACCAGCAGAGGACCTAAGTTGGCAAGCTGAATGATGACTGTGAGGTACGAGGGTAAATCCCAACCCTCCGGCAGAACATTGACTATTAGAGGAAGCTCCACCCACAAGCCATTGATGGACACCCAGGAGCCCAGACCGAAAGCACATGCCAAGGCATGGGCATACAGAGGCATACTGAACAAGTGGTTGAAATGGGTAGTTGAAGATGATGTCAGACAACTCCTTTCAACTGTGTGACACTTCGGTATTGAATATGATGTGACGCCACTTCAGTTCGGCTATGTTTTGATGTCTTCTCTTCTTGCCTTTGTGAAGACATCAGATTACCTTTAGTGAGAAACAGAAAAGAAAAATGTAGATGAAGAAGAAATCTTCAAGGTCTAGACGAAGTATTAGCAACTGAAACATGATGTGACATCCCTAAGAACAGATGGATCCATTGCTGGACCTTTGGAATAAATATTTAAGAATATATTTTATATACGATAGATAGATAGATAGATAGATAGATAGATAGATAGATAGATAGATAGAGAGAATTGTATTAAATCAAATTATATAACGTTTCACACAATACAAAGTACAAGTGCAACATAGCAATAAAAAGATCACAAACAGGCATTACAACAATAAAATGTCAATTGCTATATTAAAGCTGCAGTCCGTAAGTTTTGTCTCTTTGTCGCCATCTCTGTTTGAAAACCTGGAATTGCAGCTGTGTGCGGAATTATCTAGCTTGCGTGGGTTGTGAGTCGGCACGGCTCCAGCGCTGATGAATCTAATGTTCTGAAGAGTATGTGTGGCTGTCAGTCACCGCACCGGTGTGGATATTTACTGTACTTCGCAATCACAGATTCTAGCCTACGTCTTGGAATATAAGAATAAGAATTTTCACTGTATATTGCCATCTGAACAAGTAAGTAACAAGTCTGCCACGTTTGTTCTGACCAACTGAGGAAAAAAGCATTACCATAAATCTCGCTACCAATGG